AGCCGAGACGAAAACCATCTGGACATCCGACGTCACTGACACCAGCTGGGCGACCAGTCGACGCCTCACTCTCTCAGGAAAAGCCTCCTCCAAGGACCTGGCCCCGACCGAAGACCGCGACAGCATTGCCACTCCTCCAGAGTGCTCCAGGGCCCCGTCGCCTGTGACCGCGGCCGCCCCCGCGTGCATCGCGAAGCCCGCCTTGCCAGCCCGCGAGGTTGGGGGCGCCGCACTCCCCTGCAGCAAACGCGTCTCCTGAAAGAAATAGTGGTGAATCTCGCGCTTCACATCGTGGTGCATCCACTCCATGAACGCATGAGCCGTCGACCAAGCGTTGCAGTTGTACGTGATCAGCGTGGGCGTGTCATCGTTGAGTATGTCCGTGACCTTGGCCTCCCTGTCCTGAGTGCAAGGTGGCTGAGCGGCGACCGCCGTCACGACCTCTGCCTGGGCCGAGGGCTTTCTCGTGCTCGGGCTCGCGTTCTCGCCAGTCGAGGCCCCCCGATGGTCGGTGCCCTCAACCTCAGATGCCGCTAGGGCAAGAGGCGAGCAGTGCGTGCCATCGGGGCCGGCCGCGTGACGACGTATGAGCCCCGCTGGGGCGCCTCCGTGTCGCCCATGTGGCTGGGCCTCTCCAGTGGCCAGCGGCGCGGCGGCGGCGGGTCCCCAGGATGCTGGAGCCTCCGCGGCGGCGGCGCTCGCGCTGGCCGAGGGAGAGGCCTCTGCCCCTCCGTGTCGCTCATGTGGCTGGGCCCCCACAGGTACCAGAGGCGCGGCGGCGGCGGTCCCCCAGGCTGCTGGGGTCTCCGCGGCGGCGGCGTCGCCGCTGGCACCGATGGGGGCCTGTGCCCCAGCAGCCCCAGCAGCAGGCGAACACGATCCACTCGTGCCAGTAGATCCAGGGCGGGTAGCCGAACGGATTGTCCCTGTGGGCGCGGGGGCTCGACGGTCGGGGGCTGAATCCCCTACCCCCGCGCCCTTCGGTGGCCTCCCCATGGCCGCAGGCGCTGGCTGTGGGTGCCAACGACCAGCCAGCAACCGCTCGTCAGGGCCAGCTGCAGCTGCGACAGGGAAATTCAAGCCTTGCCAATCTAGGTCTTCAGGATTCGAAGCCCAGAAAGTTGGCAACACATCCAGAGGCGAGTAGCCTCTCGGTCGCACTGACTGAGCGCCCTCTGAACCAGAGGACTGGGCCCCCTCAGGCAGCGGCGCCTTCGGGGGCCCCTGCGTGCTCCAATTTGGCCTTGCTGTCCCGAGCGCGAGTCCGAACATCAGGCACCACTGCGGGCATCTCCACCGAGGGGTCCACCAGCGGCCGTGGCGCCTGGGCGGTGCCCTGCCCAGGGCCAGAGGCTGCCGCTGCCTCACCTGCCGACCCACGCGCGGTGCCATCCTCGGTCTTGCGCTTCTTCGTGAGCCTGGAACACTGGGCAGCGTGCTCGGCTTTGAGCTTCTCGAAGTGCTCCTTTGCCTGGGCGAAGAGCGATTTTGCATTGTCTGCGATGAGCGCCTCCAGCTGCTGCTTGCGCTGCTGGAGCTCCTGCTTGTCCGTATCTGACAGCTCATACTCCTCATCGCCCACCTCGAACAGGCTCCCGCAGCCGATCCTGAAAGAGCCGTCGAGGAGCGAGTCCAAGCGCGCACCAGCAGACTCGGCAGCCTCGGCGACGGCTGCCTGCTGGGCGTGCTCGGTGAGCCTGAGTTTGAGGCCCGCGATTTGAGCGTCGTAGGAGTCCAGCTCATCGCTGAGTTCTTGGACCTTCTGCCTCTGCCGAGCCATACTCTTCTCCGATTTGTCGACCAGGTCGAGTTCTTTCTCCATGCGCTTGACATGGGCGTCTCTCTCTTCAACCAACTTGTACAAGTGCTTCTCGGGCGGGAGCGCCACAGGAGCAGCAGCCAGACGATCCAGATTTATGAGGCGGAGCTTGCACTGACTGGAGACCATCGCGAGGCCCTGCTTCTCGGCCAGGGCCGCAAGCTGCAGGACCTCCTCTCGCTGCATCTGCTTGACGTTGAAAGCCATGGGGTCTGAGCCATTGGCAAACTGGGGGCCAGAGCGAAGTGGCTGACGCGCCTCTCCTTGCTGACTCTTGCCTCCCTCGGCCCTGCCCCCCTTGGGAGCTCCCTTGCCCCCCGCCTTGCCATCAGATGCCGCCCCTCCGTTGCGCCAGCGCCCAGGCTTCTGAGCGGCCCGAGGTTCGGCGGGGACCACAGGCTGCTCGACCCAGGGCTTTCGGGCGTGGAGGGAGGCACCGCACTGGAAGCAATTGTTTGCCGTCCGCTTGTTCTTGCCACATCCGCATGCCCAACACTTGAGGAACTCAGGCTTTGCCGCGGCCAGCTTCCAATCATCGGCAGCAGCAGAACGAGAAAGAACCCAAGGGGCATGCTGTTTGGTCATTCGAGGCTGCACACCTCGGAGTGGAAGCGTGTGTACGTGAAAGAGAAGAGCCTCCAGCCTGGGCAGGCTGAGGAGGAGGCTCTGAGCAGTCGGGGGCCGTCCCTCCCCCACGCCAAAATGCCAAGTCTGAGCACAACCGCTACGGACTTGAGCCAAAATGGCTACGGAGGAGGAGGAGGAGGAGGAGGAGGACGAGGACCCCCCCGGTGGGGGGGGCCGCGAGGCAGGATGGGCGGCGCCCGCAGGGCCGTGGCGGGAAGGGCGGCGCGCCACGGAGGGGGATGCGGCGGGGCGGCGGCGTCGCCGGCGGAGGCGCCGCCCCGACCTCGGCCGCTCCGGCCACGCGCCGAGGGGACCTCCTCCTCCTCCTCCCTCCTCCTCCTCCTCCCTCCTCCTCCTCCTCCTCCTCCTCCTTCCTCCTCCTCCTCCTCCTCCTCCTCCTCCTCCTCCTCCTCCTCCTCCTCCTCCTCCTCCTCCTCCTCCTCCCTCTCCCTCCTCCTCCTCCTCCTCCCCCCCCCTCCTCCTCCTGCTCCTCCTCCTCCTCCTCCTCCTCCTCCTCGTCGTCCTCCTCCTCCTCCTCCTCGGGTCGCCTGCGGCCTCCTGCTCTCCTGGAGCCTCCTTGGGCCGCCTTGTGGCGATCCTGGGGGCCTCTGTGGTCGTTCCGGCGAGCGCGCCCCAGGTCGTGCAACGCGTGCGGCACGCACTCGCTTTACCGCTCGGGCGTCCTCGGAAGGCGCCTCGGAGCCGCGTCAAAGAGGACGCACGAGGTGGTGGGCCTCGCTTCGGGTGGCGCCATAGGCTTCGGCCGCGCGCAGAGGAGGGTAGAGGGGAACGGGGGAGGGCTTCTGAGAACCACCCCTGCTTCTCATAAGGCGCGGGCCTCTCTATCGATGCAAGGCCGGCGCCTTCTAAGAAGCAGGGCCTCCTCCTAAGAAGCCCCTCCCCTCCCCCTATACCCTGGTGCGCGCCGCCAAACGTTGCCCTGGCCCCCTACGATTAGGTCGGGCGTGTCCCCGTACAAGCTGATTTTTCGACGAAAAATAGGAAATATTCCAAAACAAACATGCACAAATAATAAAGAATCGTCCCGGGACCATTTTTGTATTATTTTTGATTATGCCTCCTGCAGAAGGACAGGCCCGACTCAACCCTGCGACCCTAGCCTCTCCTGGGAGGCCCAGGCGGCCTCAGGAGCCCCCCCCCCCAGGAGGTCAAGAGGGCCCCATGGGTTCCAGCGCGGAGCTTTGGCCTGGGCTTCTTCAGAAGGGAAAGAAGCACACAGACAGAATCAAACGTCGACCCCCCAGAAAATAGGGACAAATGTGTGCCCCCCTCCCTGACGTACCAGGGGCGGCGCCGGAGGCGCTGCAAGGGGGGTCCAGCGTGGATCCGAGAAATCCGCGCGGATCTCCGAGTTTTCATGTTTCTGTCATTCTTCGTTCCCCTATAATCGGCCGTGGGCGTTTCGTAAACAGCCCTAAGTATTACTCTGTTCGGGACCCTCCCTGGGTGCGTTTACGAAATGGCTTCGCTTGTCGGGGTGACTTTTTGTTCAGGGGGGCGGATGTCCTGCTCTCTGCGGTGGGGGGGCGACTTGAGGGAAACCCATCGCAAGATTTGGAGGCAGAGAGCGAGGGCGAGAGAGGCGTCAGGCGCGGCAGTGCCCACCTGGCGCCCGTGTGTCCGAGCAGGTCGACGGAGTCCAGCAGGCCAGGCGCCCCTGAGGCTCCGAGGCGCCGACGGCATGAAGGTCGTGCCGCCCGCCATCTCCTGCTCCTTCGACGTGCTCTCTGGCGATCCCGCAGCGTCAGACGCCCTCCTCCCGGCCCTCCCGCCGCCCAGCGCGAGCGCGAGCGGCGGTGTCGGACGGGCCTCGGCGACCGGCGACGCCCCCCGGGCCCCACCGCTCTGTAGCGTCTTCGTTCTCCTCCTCGCGGACTGTTCGTCTGTCCCAGGGCGTCTCCTTGACCGATGCCACCGTCACGCTTGTGCGACCCCACTGCCCCTGTTTCGTTTTCCTCTCCATCGTCTTTGCCCGCCCGCGCCGCTCCTATGGGGCCTGTCGGCCAGCTGGCCAGCAGACTCGTGCGTCCTGTCCCTCTTCTCTGTCTTCGTGTTCGTCTTCGTCGCCTCCTTCCTTCTTCCAACTCTTCCTCGGCTCTTCCCTCTCCTGCTCCTATCCCCCTTCCACTCCCATTTCCCGTCCGACTGATATTCCTCGTCACCCCCCCCGCCTCATGATCTTCGCATTTTGTTGGTTCTCTCTCTGTCTCTCTCTCTCTCTCTCTCGTGCTTGTTCTCATATGTGCCCCCTCGTGCTGAACCTTCCTCCCGCACGCTGCATCGGAGGAGAGAGAGGCGCCACCGCTACCACCACGGGGGGGGCCACCTCCGGCCAGGGAGTCCACGACGCCTCCCCGAGCGGCGGAGTAGGGATGTCTCAAGCGAACGCGGAGACCACGCCGTCAGGACGACCCTCCCTGGCGCCCTGCGCTGTTGCCGTGGGTGTCGCATTTCTTTGCTCCTAGCTGGAAGCCGCGCCGACCTCCCGGCCTCTGATTGCCGCCGCCGCCGCACCGAAATTCACCGCCCCCAGATGCTGCCGCCCCGCCGACGGAGCCCTCGCGGAGCCTCTTCGTGACGGGCCCCTCGTAGCTGGGATGTTGACAACGAGCTGTACACTTACGAACTTAGACTTGCAATCCAGGCGGTAGAAGTTGGGATTTATACGTGCCAATGAGATCAACCGTTCATCGTGCACGAAATGGGGGGTATACGTTCGAAAGCGCGTCTGTTTTCTGTCTTGTCGGATCGGGCCCGGATTTTGAACATGTGCGCCCGTCTTCAGTGAGAAGTGACGACCTGTGCAGCTTTTTTTATTGGGATCCGAGGAGTTGTGTAATCTGTTTGGTTTTGTCTGGCCAGTCTCGTTTTTCGAACTTGCGCAACCGTTTTGAATGAGAGTTGGCGACTTGTGCAGTGTTCTTTTGATTGGGACCGACGAGTTGTGCAACTTGTTTCGGTTTGTCGGGATGGGCTCGGTTTTCGATTTCGTGCAACCTTTTTGAATGAGAACTAACGACTTGTGCACCTTCTTTTTTTAGGCACCCCGACGAGTTGTGCAACCTTCTCGTTTTGTCAGGTCGGGCTAGCTTTTCAACTTGAGCAAACTTCTTGTGTGAGGCTTGGCGACTTGTGCAGCGCTTTTCATTGGGAAGCGACAAGTTGTGCATTTTTTTCCGGTTTGTCCTGTCGGGCTCGGTTTTCGAATTTGTGCATGTCTATTGAATTCGAATTGACGGCATGTGCAGCATTTTTGATGGGTGATATACGAGTTGTGTAACGTTTTTCGTTCTGTCAGGCCGGGCTTGTTTTTCGAACCTGTGCAACCATTCTGAATGAGAATTAATATGTTGTGCAGCTTTTTCGATTGGGATCTGACGAGTTGTGCCACCTCTTTCGTTTTGTCGGATCGGGCTCGTTTTTCGAGCTTGCGCAAACAGGTTGTCGACTTGTGTTGCTGTTTTGATTGGCAACGGACCATTTGTGCAACCTTTGTCGATTTGTGGGGCCGGACGCGATTTTCGAATGTGCGCAGCCTGTTTTGATTGAGACGAGACGACTTGTGCATGTTGCTTGAATTGGAAACGCCGAGTTGTGCAACCTTTCTCGTTTTGTTGAATCGGGTTGGGATTTCGAACAGGTGTGACGTTTTTGATTAAGAGTTGACATCTTGTGTCGTTTTTTTGATTGGGAACCGACGGGTTGTGTAATATTTTTCGTTTTGTCGGGCCAGGCTCGTTTTTTGAACTTGTGGAACCATGTTGAATGAGAGTTGACGACTTGTGCAGTTTTTTGATTGGGACCGACGAGTTGCGTTTTTTTTCGTTTTGTTGGGCTCGGCTCGGTTTTCGATTTTGCGATTTTTTTGAATGAGCACTAACGACTTGTGTACCGTCTTTTGGGTGGAACCGACAAGTTGTGCAACCTTTTTCGTTTTGTCGGGTCGGGCGCCTTTTCCGAATTAGGGACACTTTTTTGTTTGAGGACTGACGACTGGTGCAGCTTCTTTGATTGGGCAGCGAAAAGCTGTGCAATATTTTTCGTTTTGTCGGGTCGGGCTCGGTTTGAAGTTGTGATTTTTGTCGATCGATAATTCACGACTTGTGCAGCCTTTTCGATTTGAACCCAAAGAGTTGTGCCACCTTTCTCGTTTTGTCGAGGCGGGCTCGTTTGTCGAACTTGTGCAAACTTCCCCAATCAGTGCTTGCACTGCAGGGGTCCTAGCGGAAGTTGGATGATTTGGCGAAGGTTTCCCGCCGAGTTTGGTAGCAGGCTGGGTTCCCGGGTTCCCGGTTCCGGGTTCCCGGGTTCCCGGTTATTGGTTCCGCGGGTTGATTTCGGTGGATTTTGGGTTCCCTGGCTTTTGGGTTCTCGGTCGATCTCCTCAGCGAAAAGCATCTTTGATTGGGTTTTTTTTTTGGTGTAATTTTTGATTGAGAGTCGACATTTTGTATGATTTTTCTCAGTCATTGCGTGCACTGAAGGGGTTCTAGCGAAGATTGAAGGATCTGGCGAAAGTTCCGGCCGATTTCGTTAGGCGGCCAGGTTTCCGGGTTCCCGGTTCCGGGTTCCGGGCCGATTTTCGGTGGGCGGCGGGGTTTTTGGGTTCTTGGGTGCTTGGTCGATCTTCTAATCGATTTGTCTCCCCGATCTCATTACCCACATCTCTATTGATCTCATCATCGATTTCACAATCGATCTCATTATCGATCTCAAAGTCGATCTCACTATAGATCGCGCGAGCGATCTCACGATCGATCTCACGATCGATCCCAATGAAACGACTTCGCTATTGGTCTCACGATCGACTTTACAATCGTCCTCACAATCGATTCCACTATCGATCTCACAATCGATCTTCATGTCCATATCATTAGTTTCCAAACCATGCACTGATTGTTTTTTCTTTGGTGATTCTTTTCGGTTGGGAGCCGACGAGTTGTGCAACCTTTTTTGTTTTGTCGGGCCGAATTCAGTTTCAAGCTTGTGTGACCTTCTCGAACGTGAACTGACGATTTGACACCTCCTGTGATGGGAAACAGACAAAAGAAACATGACGCAGAATTTGTCGGTTCTCAATTCACAAAGCGGTCGTCAGTTCTCTATCAATTAAAAAATTGCACCAGCTTAAAACCGAGCCCGATGCGACAAAACGAAACAGGTTACACATTTCGTCAGTCCCTAAGCGCACAGAGCTGCACGTGTCGTCAATGTTCGTCCAAAAAGAATGCACAAGTTCGAAAACCGAGCCCGATCCGACAATGTACCAATGTTGCGCATGTCGTCTGTGCCAAATCGAAGAAGCGGCATATGTCGGCAATCCTCAATAAAAAAACACAATTTCGATACACGAGCCCAGCCAATGAAGTTGCAGAAGTCGCCGATTCTCCATCAAAAAGGTTCGCACAAGTTCGAAATCCGAACCCGACCCGACCAAATGAAACAAGTTACACAAGTCGCCGGTTCCCCATAGAATTTTGCACAAGTCGTTTTCAATCAAAGAGGTTGCACAAGTTCGGAATCTGAGCCCAGCCCGACAAAACGAAACAGGTTGCACATCTCGTCGGCTCCCAATCCAACAATCTGCACATGTCGTCACTTCTCGATCAAATAGGTTGCAGAAGTTCGAAAAGGCGAACCCGACCCGACAAAACGAAAAGGGTTGCAAACTCGTCGGTTTCCAACATGGGGCTGCAGGTGCCATCATTTCTCATTCAAAAAGTGGCGCAGGCTCGAAGACCTAGGCCAGACGGACAAAACGAAAGAACTGTTGCACACTTCGTCGGTCGTGAATCAGAGAATCTGCACAGAACGTCCGTTCTCAATCAAAAATAGTTGCACAAGTGCCCGGCCCGAGAAATCGACAAAGGTTGTGCAGCTCGTCGGTGCCGAATCAAGCAAGCTGCACATGTTGTCAACTCTCAGTCGAACAGTTTGCAAAGGTTCGAAAACTGGGTCCCGCCCGACAAAGCGGAAACGGATGCACACTTCGTGGGTTCCAAATCAGAAGAGCTGCAGAACCAGTCAATTCTCCACCAAAAAGGTTGCACAAGTTCGAATACCGAGGCCGATCCGACAAAACGAAAAAAGGTTGCATAATTCGTCAGTTTCCCATCAAACGAACTGCACAAGTAGCACATTCTCATTCGCAAAGGTTGCACAAGGTCGAAGACCGAGTCTGGCCCGACGAAACGACAATGGTTGCACAACCCGTCGTTTCCCAGATCCGAAGAGTTGCACAAATCGTCAACTATCAAACAACATGCTGCACAAGTCGGTGAATCTTAATGGAAATTTAAGCAAGGTCGAAAACGGAGCCCGGGCCGACAAAACGAAACAGGTTGTCGGTTGCCAACCATAAAAGTTGCACAAGTCGACATTCCTCAATCAGAAAGGTTGCACAAGTTCGAGGACCGAGCCCGACTCGACAAAATGAAACAGGTTGCACAACTCGTCGTTCCACCATCAAACAAGCTGCGGAGGTCGTCAATTTTGATTCAACATCGTTGAACAAGTGCGAAAAGCGAGCCCCGCCCGACAGAACGATTAAGGTTGCACAGTTCTTGGTTCCTAATCAAAAAAAGCGGCACAAGTTGGCAGTTTTCACTCCAAGAAGGAGCACAAGTTCGTACACCGAGCCTGGCCCGACAAAACGAGAAAGGTTGCACAATTCGTTTGTTCCCAATCGAAAGAGTTGCACAAGGCGTCAATTCTAATTCACACATAGTTGCACAAGTTCGAAAAACCAGCCCGACTTGACAGAACGAGAAAGGTTGCACAACCCGTCGGTTCCAAATCAAAGGAGTTGCATAAGTCGTCAGTTCCCATTCGGGACGTTGCACACATTCAACAAACGCGGCCCGACAAAACGAACAAGGTTGCACAATTCGTCGCTTTCCCATCATAACAAGCCGCACGCATTGTCAATTCTCATTCGGAAAGGTTGCATGAGGTCGAACACTGAGCTCGGCCCGACAAAACGAAAAAGTTTGCAGAAGTCGTCGGTTCCTAACCAAGAGAAGTGCACACGTCGTCAATTCTCATTCAAAATGGTTGCACAAGTTCGGAAATCGATCCCGACCCGACAGAACGACAAAGGTTGTACAGTTCGTCGTCTCCAAATCTAAAAGTTGTACAAGTCGTCATTTTTCAATCCAAAGGTTGTAGAAGTTCGAAAAAACGAACCAATCCCGACAAAACGAAACGGGTTGCACAAATCGTCGGTTCCCTATCCTAGAAGTTGCGCGCTTCGTCAGTTCACACTCAAGGAGGTTGCGCAAGTTCGAAAACTGAGCCCGACCCGACAAAATGACAAAAGGTTGCACAACTCGTGGGTTCGTAATTAAACAAGCTGGACGTGCCGTCAGTTCTCAATCACAAGGTTTGCACAAGTTTGACAACCGCACCCGGCCCGCCAGATCAAAACATCACGGTTCATACATCGTTTTTTTCAATTCGAACTATTTGCAGAGGTCGCCAGATCTCAATCCAAAAAGGTTGCACAAAGTGGAAAACCAAAGGCTTGGTCGTACACGTCTTCGAGCTTCGAGAATTAACGGGCCCGGGGCTACTTTAGAGGATGTCGGAAATTACGAATGTGAATTGAACCTTCAGTCGGGCGTGTCCTTCTACAGGAGGAATATTCAAAAATAGTCAGAAAATCATATGGGGAGGCATGTTTTACAATTTATGAGTATGTTGGGAGCATTTTTTCAGTATGTTAATTTTTCGCCCACAATCCCCCTGTAGGGGGACATGCCCGACCTAAACTCAGCCCGAGGGTGGCCCTAACATCCCAGCTCAGGGTTTCGGGCGCCGCTCGTGCGCGGGGCGTCGGTCTCGCGCCCCGCGCGCGGGGCTTCTATTTTTTTTCTTCCACCGCGCGTCGGCGTCGCCCTGCGGAGGGGGATCCAGCTCAGATCCAGTACATTTGATGGGCATGTTTTCCATCACCATCACCATAAGTTGGAGGAGGAGTGGGTCCTCCTCCTCCTCCTCCTCCTCCTCCTCTTCCTCCTCATCCTCCACCTTTTTCCCCCCTCCAACTTATGGTGGTGGTGGTGGAAAACAGGCCCACCAGCATCCGCGCGGACCGTCGACAGTTTATGAATATGCCGCTAGTTGTTGCTGCGGCAGCGCTTTTTCGCAGAACTCGTGGTGGTCTTCGGAAGCCCTGACGCGCCTGCGCGGCGGCCAGCCTGCCGCGGGCGCTCAAGGCTAGACGCCGCCGGAAGCCCAGAGTCGGCCAGCATGGAGCGATCTTGCGATCGGGAGAGCCGCCGGTCGTTCAGGGTCAAACGATCCACGCGATGTCAGGAATTAACGCCGGGGCAGTCACGACAAGAAGCTGGCGTGGCCGGCGCCTGGCGCGAGAATCCACGGGCTTCAGAGGCTTGCCAGTGGCAACGCTAGGGGGGGGCAGTCGCACAGGTGGACCCCCGACAGCACGCTCACTGCCAACAGGGGCCTGGTCGCCTACCCCGCTCAGGAGCGTGCGGCGCCGCTATGGGGGGGGCATCGCCGATCTATCCAGGATGTATCGCCGATTCCAGGTTGATGTTTGTCTCCCTGAGCCGGTCCCCCCCCCTATCGTTCCTTTTCAGCTTGTGGCCGCCCGAAGTGGGTTAGCCGGGTCTACCACTTTCGCAGGGTGTGTCCTTGCTGTCTTGGTGCCACTGGCTCCCAGATTGGAGTGCACGACTGCGTGCGGTCAGCAGCGTTTTGGCACTGCAATCTTTCCCGAGGGCAACTTTTTCCTTCTTGGGTTCACCGAATTCGACGTGCTGTCGCTCAAACGCGAAGGACTCAGCGGAGTCAGATCGCACCTAGGCTAGATCCGTTCAGTCGTCTCCCGAAGCTGGAGATGCATGCAGGATGAGGGCGCGCGTGGTAGCCCTGATCCCGATCGTGGGTGGCCTCGGGAGGGAAGTACAGTCAAAACAGTCAAAACCAGTGTTGAGAATGAGACCTTTATCGTAAGGGCACCGCCCTTCGGTCCTGGCCATCCCTGCTACGTTTGGACGCGCGCACCCCCGGCTTCCGCGCCGTTCCGAGGGTCCTGCATTCTCGAACTGCATCCTCGTCGCTGGTTTTGACTGTAGGAGGGGGAGCTGGGGAGGCTTGAGGATGGATCAGGGGCAAGGTCAGTGGGGGGCATACACGTGGTTCATCTCTAGTTCTTCGACCGTTCTGAGATTTTTTTGGGGGGGCCGAGATCCTTGCATTTCCGATTGTTCTGGCCTGGGCCTCTCCCTGGCCACTAGGGGCCCAGGAGCAAGTAGAAACGAGCACAGTTAGACGTGAGCACGGTTAGAGCTGAACGACGTGTATTTGTGTATGCAAAGTCAGAACCTTGATTTAGTCATAGAAGCACAAAAAAACACTAGAACGAACAAAAACACAAACAACACATAAAAACACAAAAACACGGTTAGAGCTGAACGACGTGTATGCTCATTGGGGGGACTGCCGCGACCCCCAGGCCTCCCGATGCTCGCCGAGGTCGGGGCCTGGGCGCGTCGCCTCGCTCCCTCAGAGCGTGTGGGGCCTCGCTGCCGAGGGCCGATCGACGAGTCACTGGTGGTGCATGGCGAGGGCCTATCGACGAGTTACTGGTGGTGCATGGCTGATCGTAAGCTGTTTACTTTGAGTTGGCTGTGTTGGAGTTGGAGCTGGAGCTGGTCGGTTGTTGGAGTGTGCTGATTTTTGTTTGCTTTGGCGTTGGTCATCTTCTGCCCCAATCAGCGCCTGCACCGAAGGGGTCCTAGCGGAGGTTGGAAGACTTGGCGAAAGCGTCCCGCCGATCTTGGTGGCCGGCTGGGTTTCCCGGTTCCTGGTTCCGGCATCCCGGGTTCCCGGTTATTCGTTCTGGGCCAATTTCGGTGGGTTCTTGGTTCCCGGGCTCCCGGGTTCCCGGTCGATCTCGTCAGCGAAAACCATCTTTTGATTGGGTTTTTTCTTTGGTGTAGTGCTTTTTGGGGAGTTGGTTGTCTTTTTATCGTTTCCCTGCAATGGAAGAGAGATGAGCTGAAGGTGTTCTGGAGGCAGTTGGGGGCGTGGGGAGCGCTGGGAATGTGGAAGGGGGGGGCAGGGTTGGAGGTGGAGGGGAGAGGATTGGCAGGAAGAGAAGGGTGAGTGCGAGAGTCGGCTACACGTAAGAGTGACCTTTCGCCAGAGTGACCTTTGGTGCGGGCGCACCAGGGTCCCCAGATTCGGGGGCGGAAAAGAGGGGGGTGATGACTAGGGGGGGGTGGATTTCATGGCGCGGGCCATGATTTTTCCTCAGATTTCATGGCGCCTCTTCTTGCTTCATTACGTCCCGGGCCTCACCGCTGGGCCGCGCACATGCCGCCGGTCATGATTTGCACCCCCCCCTCTTGGACACCCCCCTCTTGGCCGCTCCCGACAGATGGCTGATTGCGACGCGATAGCAGCGGCTTGCGCGCTCGGGTTTGGCCTCCCCGCGCCCCCCGCAAGCCGCGCACCAGAGGTGACTCTTGCCTGGGGTCACTCCTGCGTGTATCTGAGAGGAGGAGGGGAAGGAGGAGGAGGACGAGGAGGTGGAGTGGAAGAGGAGGAAGAAGGGGGACCGGTGTAAACTCAAGGCGTATCAACGATGTTGCAATGAACCCTGTCTCCAAGTTCCCTCCATAGGTCCCCACAGCAAAGATTGTTGCAGGAAGAAAGATGGGTGAGAATAATAATGATAATGTCCAATTTCAAAGTGGTACCACAGCCTTAGTCAAGCCACCTCTGAACTTGCCCACGGGGAAGATAAGCCCGAAGACAAAACACGGGTAAATGAGGAGCTCGGGACGTAGGTGGACACCCCGGTTGAATATCTCATCTGCAGCACACCGAAACCCTCGATGCGGCCCGTACAGTGCAGAAACCACTTGTCATCGGACAACCCCAAATACCGTAAAGCACAGCAGAACAGCTCCGAAGCGGGGCTGTCCCCCCCCCGCAGACAGCCCCATTGCCAACGATTATCAGATGGAGTGAAGGGAGGAGGAGGTGGAAGACCAGTGCAAACCCAAAGCGTATCAACGATGCTCCGACAAACCCTCCCTCCAAGTCCCCTCCATTTGTCCCTACATCAATGACACCAGAGAAACCCCAATCAGTGATTGATGAGGGGATTGACCAGGAACCCGGGAACCCGGAACACACCGAAATCGGCCCGGAACCAATAACCAGGAACCCGGGAACCCGGAACCGGGAACCCGGGAACCCAGAACCGGCCACCAAAATTGGCGGGACAGGTTCGCCAAATCTTTGACTTTTGCTATGACCCCTTCAGTGCAAGCCTTTATTGGGCAGTTATTTTCATTGCGGGAAGTGCCCCATTGGAAGACAGCCGTCTCTCAGAGCGTGAATTACTTCCCCCGCTTTCGCTTCAAGGCAAAACCAAGTCATACCACGCGCCTCCTCGTCAAGCGGCCTGACCAGTACAGGCCGTAGTTTGGCATCGCTTTGTACCTCTTGGAAGCGAGGGTGGTCAAAAGCGAGGTAGGTTTGTTTGCCCCCTAGTCTCAGAGTCCTCGATCAGGCCAGACCACCACTCCCGGGGCTCCAACGCCGCGAGTCAACGTGGCTGCGTCGTCGTGACAATGCGAACTCGTGCCAGAGAACCGTTCTGAGAGTCTCAACACACCGCGGATCAGCGTGACTGGTTGCCTCCTGACAATCCTAATGCCAGGACGCCACTCTTGGGACTTCAACCACGCGAACACTGGAAACGGGCGCAGTTGTTGAGACGATTGTGCGCGGCGCTAGTGCAAGAGCCTCCTTTTGAAAAGGAGCCGCCCTCCCTTTTTGAAGCTGCTACAGTATCTTAAGACGAGCGACTTGCTGAACGTGAGCGGCGCCAGGGCGCGAGCCACATTTTAGAAGACGGGCCGCCTTCCATCCTTGAACCTGCTGCAACGTTTCATGGCGCCAACATCGCAGAGCGGATTTCGTTCGGAAAGCGATGGGATGGGCCAGGATTGTCCTCGTTCCGGATTTCGAAATGAATTTCGGGCACTTGTTCTGGCCAAGATTACAGACAACCCACGTCAAGTTCACTTCTTTTTTTCGCTCGCCTTTATGGGCCTTGGCATTGGCAGAAGTCCACGCAAAAACCCGCTGGAGCACGCCTTCAAGGTCGGTGCCGTGAAGCTTCCAAGCTTCGGGGCCATAGGTCGCGATGATGTCTCGGGCGAAAGCGCCCGGCCCGCTCTGCCGACACGCCCGGTGGCGCGACGGGTGGGAGTTAGATCTATAAGGGAGAGGCGCAGAGGAGGAGGACGAGGAGGACGAGGAGGAGGAGGAGGAGGAGGACGAGGAGGAGGAGGAGGACGAGGAGCAGGAAGACGCAAGCGAACCCAGGAGGCATCGAATATGCTGCAGTACACCCCGTCCCGAGTCACTGCAGTTATTCCTGCCCGTTGCGGCTACCGCCTCCCTTGAATGTGACGAGCGCCTAGTGGGCCTTCACCCTGGCGAGACCCATTTTTTGTTGAGCATCGACCCTCTATGTTTCTGGCTATATTCCTCGCGTCGCAAAGAGGTGTAGTGACAATAGTTCAAAGAGGAGTCCAACTGTAGCCCTGTTTTTAAGAATAATCTGCCTTCCACGTGTGTAAGTGTTTTGAAGTTCGAAACTCTTGGGCAGCGTTTGTGAACATCTGAAGCGAGCACCGTATTTTCTCAAGAGCTGCCCTCCGCCCGTGCAACTGTTGGACACGCAGGAATGCGGTTCATGGAGCTTGGTGAAGTCTCAAGCTATACCGGAATTTCGGAAACCATGCGGCCTTCTTCCGCTTAGCAGTCGGGTAGTTCTTATACGGAGTGTGTGCGGCGCTGAGGCGAGAGACGCATTTCGAAGTCATGTGTGTTTTCTTCTGTAAAAGTATATATGTTGGTATGATCGTTTCTGTCACAGTATGCTGTGATCTGTTATGCTATCTGCTATGCTCTGCTCGGCTCACCATGTTATGACATGCTATTATCTGTCAGATTATGTCAGAGTGATTCAGAGTGATAGGGCGAACGGTCATTCACTGTCCTTAGGCGAGTGGCTGAAATGAAGTTCGCCGGTGCGGATTATTGTTGTTGTTGGTTGTTGTTGTCGTCGTCGCCGTTGTTGTTGTTGTTGTTGTTGTTGTTGTTGTTGAATTCTCATTTCTGAAGAATCATTATTGTTGATCCCCCCTGTCCGGTGCCCATTGGTTTTTTCAATTGAAGTGCTTCCTCCGGGGCTCGCACCTTGTTTTTTGACAGGGAATGCCTTGCGGATCAGATTGCGTTGTTGGGCCCCGGACTACAACAACAACGGCTCCCGCCTGAGACTTCCTCACAATTTCCTCAAAATTTTCTCCGGAAGGGCGCTCCCGCTTCAGACTTTCTCACATTTTACTCAGAAACGGCGCTCCCGCTTGAGACTTCCTTAATCAGGACCCCTGCTCCCGCGCGAGACTTCCTCATAATTTACTCAGGAATGGCGCTCTCGCTTAGGACTTCCTCGCAATTTATTGCAGCATCGCGTTCTCGACGCTCAGGAACCACGCTCGCGCCAAGGACGCCCTCGCAATTTACTTAGGAATCGCGCTCTCGCTTAATACTTCCTCGCAATTTACGCAAAAATCCCGTTTGAATGTCCCGCCCGCCCGACCCGCCCGTCAGGGTCCGCCCGCCCGACCGGCGCTCCCGCCTGAGACGTCCGACAATGTACTCGGGACCCCCGCTCCCGCCCAACTCTTCCTTGAGGAATACGCCCTCGCCTAGGACTTCCTCGAACGTTCACACTCTTACCCTCCTGCCCCTTCCTCCCCATCCAACCTGCCTCCTC